TAAAATTTATATTTAAAAAGTTAAAAAAAATCTAATTAAGACTTGTAAAAATAAATAGAAAGAATATTATTTTAAGACAAATTCTAAATTAAAAAGTACCTATTATTCTATAATTAAGGGAGTAATGAATAAGACAACAAAAATTTGTAAAAAACTTAAATTTTTTTTAGTGTTAAAATTACTTAATTGGCGAGGAGAAGACATCATGTGTCACGATGAACTTTTTCCTTGTAGTGTGGTCTACTTAATGTGTATATATATATATATATACATATATATAATCATGAGCGTGCGTGCTCCTCCCCAACAAGGGGTCTAGACTCTAGAATTAATAGTTCATGGGCAAATCCACTTAATAAAGCAAGTAGCTTAACCACTCATCTTTCAATTGAAACGTCTCAATCCCGCAGTAAGAAAAGAATATAATTGTAAGTGATATATGAGCGTAGAAACCAAATATTATTAATAATTTAAGTTTAAAATTTTGAGAGCTTATAGATTTTGTTCCAAAAAATTATTAGAGTAGTAATGACACTCAGTTTAAGTTATTTAAGTGTGAGAGATTGTGATATTTTTTATTGTAACTCAATTTAGATTAGATTTGAAGATTGTAATACTTCAATCTCATATCGAAATAAGAGTATAATTATGAGTGATATATAAATATGAAAATTAATCGTTACTAATAATTTAAACTTAAAGTTTTTAAAGTTTTTGAGTTAAAAAATTGTTAGGTCAACAACGAATTTTAATACGAGGAAAATTATATTTCATATTCAATGTGAAAGCAATCGAAAGGGAATCAAATAAATACAATGTGAGTTCACGGGATTGGAAGTCATTTTAGAACGATAGGCTCTTTCTTTTCTTCTCTTTTCTTTCTTTCTTTCTTTATGTTCAAGGTAGGGTCTCTAATTTGCATGTCCCTTTCACTAATCCTTTTTTTTTTTTTTCTTTTTTCTTTTCGTGCGTTGAAATATATGCAACTTGTCGAATAGAATGTAATTGAAGATAAGGATGGGTTTGCCAACGATGTCTTTGGCAGAGTGGTATAGAGACAGAGGCTAACATGGTTTGTTTGGCTTGTGGAATAGGTTTTTTTTCATATTTTCCTTGAGTTTTATATTGTACCTAAATCTGAGATACTTATACCGTATATAATTGAATACTATTCTTGAAAGGCTTCACCCTCACAGGCGCCCTCTAACTTATTATCTTTAAAACCTTTAGCCCCTCAATACAATATAACCATATTGGCTCCTACAGCCCGTGATTGTTAAGGTAATTGGCACAAAATGGATGGAAGTCCCTCACATCCATCACATGGCCGTTCATATTCCGTTAGCCCTTGCCTCATTAATTAGCTCCTTGTCAAAGTAAAATAAACACCTCACCACTTTTGACTCTAAATTTATTTTAGGTTTGTCTAATTTATGTCTTTATAACATAAGTTAAAAATACAATAAATATATTTTTTTATAATTAATTTACATAAAAAATAATAAAAATTAACTTTTATTTTAATATCATTACCATATGGATAATTTTAATTAATCAATTGATTAAATTTAAGTCAATTTTGGTTATTTTTATGTAAATCAATTATAAAAAAATATATTTATTACATTTTTAACATGTGCTCTAAAAACACATGAAATTAAAAATCCCTTTTTTTGTTTCAAATAAAATTTCCAAAAAACAAGTGTTATGTTGTGCGTGTTTGGGCAGTACATTCATGCGTTATTTAATTTGATCATAATAAATGTTTAGCACTACAATTCTATTTCTTTTTATGATATTTCTTAAAAGATAATTCAATACTTTAAAATTTAAATCTCTGCGTTGAATATTTCAATTTTGAATTTTAAGATAAATAAAATGAGATTTATGAAAGAAAAATTATTTTTTATTATATAATTTATCATCTTACGTACAAACAAAAATTTTCTTTTTATATAATTCTCCTTACCTAGTTGATGAGTGTTGTTTCTTTTTTTAGCAAAGCTGGTGGCTTTTTGAAACTGATTCTAGAATTGCCCAGCTTTTACTTAATGCCCCTAAAAATGTGTTTCACTCACTCGGTGTGCTGATTTCTGATTGCAGAGCGCTTTTTTGTGGTCTGCCTGATGTACAACTCGTCCGTGTTTTTCGGGAAACAAATTCTGTTACTAATCAACTGGCTAAACTTGGTCCTAAATTCGATAGGTTTTTTTGTTGTAATGGAGCAATGTCTTCCTAAACTGTGCTTTTGTCTGTACTCTGATGCTATTGGGAATCAAGTTCCCAGGACTTTTTTGGTCTAGTTTTTAATATATTCTCTATTATACTTAGAAAAAAAAAAAAAAAAAACCTGGTGGCTTTTGGGAGTCTCAAATTACCTTCGATCTGGTGCCTAGTGCAGGATTCTTTATTAAGCTCTTTTTTAAAAATTAAATTAAATTAAATTAATGATTCCTTAGAAGATAAATGGTTTTTTTTATTCTTTTTTATTTTTAAGTTCCAATTGATTGGAGTTCAAACAATATATAAATTTAAAGTATTTAAATCTCATTATTAAATAAGATTTGTTTAAAATATTTTAATATTTTTGTAAATTAAACTGTACGTTTTTATACAGTTTAAATTGAAAAACATTATTTTCTTCTTTGAATTGGGTTTAATGTATCCACATGTCCATATGTATTTGATATTGTCATTCAGTGAAACCACTAGATATATGTTCGTAATTAGTTTATTTAGATTTAATTTAATCATGAATTAATAAAATTGAAAATAACGTGGGACTTACAAACCACGTGAACATGTCACGGGTTAACAGATTAAGGACAGCCACGTGACGAAGGTAACGAGCTGCCGTCTTTTGCGCCATTTGCCTTGACAACGTACAATTTAAGGACTAATTTACTTATATTATATGTTGAGGGGTTAAAGGTTACAAAGACAACAAATTAGAGGACGCCTTGGGGCATAGGCCATTTTTGTACCTTCAAATTTGTGAGGAAAAATTTTTTTTCTTATATTTTTTTATAAATTTATATTAAAGGAATAAAATTTAGCTTTTTATTTTTTAATTAAATTTACTCACATAATAATAATATTAAAATTAAAATGAATTTTTATTTTTTATATAAATAAATAATAATAAGATACTTAAAGACATAAATTAAAAAAATTTCTTTAAAAAAATAGGACAGGTTTAAGATTTACGAGGCTTGGGGGATGACTTTGCCCACTAACGTCAATGTAAACACATATTTTTAATGAACCGAGATCATTGGTTAAATGGTTGAGTTAATTTGCTGATTTTCCATTGAGTTTCTTCATGGAAATTTCAGAATTTCCATGCACAAAGCTTTTTAATGTCATTGCCACTGTTTGTTTGGCGACACGGCTGCACAAAATGTTTGTGTCATTCATAGACATGACTTTTCTTCTTTTTCCCCCTTTTTGATAATTAATCAGATCTTTAAAAAGTAATCATGTCAATTTAACCAAGCATGCATCAAATCAATTAAATAGTTAACTCGTTTTTTAACGGATACAAATTTTAAATAATCCATTCTTTCAAAATTAAAAATTAAAATTTTTAAAATTCAACTAAACAATTTGATAGTCGCGCGCTTTATTAGAATTGATGGGTTATTTATCAAATCTGAAAATTAAATCTTCAGTTGTTAATATTTAATAATATTAACTTACTAACCATTGTTTTTATCCAAAAAAAAAATTAAATTTTTGTAATATCAAATAATTAATTTTTACTATATAAAGAGAAAAAAAATGAAGTTTTAAACTCCTTTTTTAATTCCTTAATTTCGGCAAAATGCCTCTTAATTCATTAAAAATTTTAAGATTTAAGTTTTATATGATAGTCATTGAAACAAATAATTCAGTAATAATTTTTTTATATTAAAAATAAAAAATCTTAAATTTAAATCATATGACATATAAGTAAAATGAAATAAAAAGTAAAAAATAAGTACCTCTAATTATGTAATCAATATATAAAAAAAAAATCTCTTATGATATGCACACGAAATAAATTAAGAGATGGAAGTTCCTCACGTCCGTCACATGGCCGCTCATATTCGATTAGCCCTTGCCTCATTAA